GTTGCGGATAGTTATTGAAGATGGCCTAGTCTCCGTAAGTAGTAACGCGAACAGCTCTTTGACACTGGACGTTGTGTGTAGAATTTTAGGAGGATTATACATGCCAATGGCCAAGGGTGGACCCAGTGGACCCAGGATATTACCTGGGGACAACGTGTGGGTCATCGGATGAGCCAAGTTTGACCCGTTGGCACAGCCACCAGGCTGGCGCGGCCCCCAGGACGGTCTAAGAGCCTTTATCGGCACACGTTCCAATCCCAATCAGCACAATGTTCAACGCGATGGCAGTGACACAGAATAATCCCGCATCAATGGCAATAAGCAAGCAGGCCCAGCGCAAAGTTTCGCGTCGGTCACACCAGAAATCGCGGTTAGGTTGCAGCAACTGCAAACGACGACACATTAAGGTTATCCGCCCCTTTTCGCCCCGCCTCCTGATCCCGTATGCTTATCTGAGAAGCGGAATGCTAACGGCCAGTCCAGTGCGATGAATTACGGCCACAATGCATCAATTGCATGAACCACTCGGTCATTTGTGAATACTCTCCGTCAACCAGTCTGGACATGCAACCGTTATCGGCAAGAGCCTCCCAGTCTAGTTTATCAGCAAAGTCGGAGCGTCTCATCAACTGGATTTTCGTCCCATCTGAGTATCAAAGCACATCGAGACGGCCAATTCCGGACTCTATTACCAAATCAGCTAGCTGGACTTCGACTGGCGCTCAATCTTCCCCATCTCCGTCATTCAATCTGCCATCTCCCTCGCCATCCTCTTCTCAACCCACTCCCACCCCTACAACATTTGACTTTTACGACTTCACTCTTCACCACCACTACCTAACCTCAACCTGCTACACTCTCGCCGAAGATGACGGCAGTCTTCACTTCTGGCGTGATGAAGCCCCCAAGTTGGCAATCACGCATCCCTTTATCCTGCATCTTATCCTGGCTTTAGCTGGCCTTCACAAAGCCAGAATCAACTCCGACCATGCACTTTCACATCGTGAAGAAAATGGTTCGCTGCTCGTAAACAGAGCAGACCATCACTCTGCCATAGGGCTAAGTGAACTATTGTCTCGTGTTGGTCATATCCAACCCGACAATATTCAGGCGGTGTGGGTGGGGGCCACCATTTTGTGTTTTTTGCCTATGGCTCGGGGTCCGCGACCGGGTGACTATTTGTTCTTTTCAGTTGGTACTGATCATGAAAGCATGGCCGAATGGCCTTCATTGGTGCGAGGAGTGAAAACACTTTCGGGGATTTCTGGTGATATCAAGCCTCGGGGGAAAAAGAATACCCCATCTCCAGTCAATGAAGGAGGCAAGGCGTTGGGAATGGACTACCGGGGATCTTTAGAGGCCTTGCGGGAGCGGATTCTTCTGCCTGGCCAAGGACGGGAAGAAGTGAATGGTCGAGATCTGAGGGACTGTTATTTTAATGCGATTGACATGTTGGAGCGGATGCTCGATGAGATGTGTGGGGAAAGGCAAGATGAGGGCGAGTGTAACATTGGCAGGTTAGCGATGATCATCTACGATTGGATATGTTGCTTCGAGGATGGACTGGATGCCTTTCAGAGAAAGGAGCCGGTGGCATTGATACTGCTGTCTTATTTCTTGGTTCTTATGAAATTGCATGATGGGGTGTGGTTTGCTCGGGGATGGGCGGAGCATATCATGGGGGGTATTGAGGAGGGCTTGGATCAAGATGATCGTCGGTGGCTACATTGGCCGATGGAGGAGATTGGAATGCACAATGGTGCAGGTAGCAAAGGTGAGGGAGCAGCACAATCAGATTAATGAGGGGAATCAGCTTTCACCCAAGATTCGTTGTACCAAGAGAACAAATCATTTTTGATTCAATGTGTCTCCGACCTGGAAACTGCGCACCAATAGGTACTTCTTGAATTACACAAGACCTATTTGTCACGGCATCAATCCTACCAACATCCATTGGTCGCTCAATCCTAGCCCCTTTCCAACAACATCAACTTATCCCCCTGACTCTCCTCCTCAAGGTCCTCCAAGACCAAAGTTTGCTCGCTCACCATGGGCACCGAATTCGCCCGCAATTCAATCTTCCGCAATAACTGCCCCGGATGAAAGAGATTGAAAACAATAACAGCCGGCACCATCATCGCCCCATCCAACCCAATTAACAATTTTTCATTTCGCATGGTTGAACTGGTCCACCCATGTAGCAACTCAATCGTCCGATATACACTCCGAATGTATATCAAGAGGACCGAAAACACCATTGCCGAAAACAAACCGATCACTATCGGCATGTGCGCGTTACCCCGGCGGTATGGTACTTCGCGGCAGAATACGCGCCAGGCAAAATCAGCGCCAAGGGCAACGAAGACTGTTATAGCCACGAGCTGGAAGATGATGCCGCCGACCATGATGTGGGTTCCGGTTGATTGGGAGTTGGAGGAGGAGGAGGTCTCTCTGGTGCTCAACGAGCTGGTGCTGGAGGATGAGTCCCCACCACCTCCTCCTGATGAAGCCATACCTCCTCCTGCTGCCTGGACAACCAAAGAGATTATATCGCAGGTGCAGAAGATCCAGAGGTAGAGCTTAGGAGAAAGGACAGATGATTGGGGGCCAAAGATGCGAATGAAACGGGCTAGCAGGACGTAAATTCCTGCGGTGAAGAACGTTGGTGCTATCAATGAATGTCAGGTGTGCCCCAGTACTAGCAATGGGATATCCCACCTATGATGAGGGTAGTGAGTTGCATGAGATATGGTGGCTGAGCGTAGGGGCACTTAGCAGACCATATTCGGGCCGCCCAACCTAGGATTTCGCCTGTGTTCTAGTTAGCATACTTGATCTAGGCTCTGGGGTGGTCAAGATACCCAAGCATCCTAGCGAGAATACGGAACACCACCAGGTACGAAACCACACCATTTGGACAGCATGGCCTAGCATCGAAGCGCCAAAGAGAGCTACAAAGGTAGAGGCTGCTGCGAGCGAGGGCACATAGCCGTATGAAGTAGAAACTCCATCCACATAGGCATGACATGTATCGCTGCCGTATGCCTGTGTTTCTGAGCTTCCGTGGCCTGAAGCACTCATGATTGTAATTAAGAGGTCCAATCTGGGGTTGTTCGTAAAGTCAAGCTATTGACTGATGCAATAGTGGTTAAGATTTCGGCAATTGTAGTAAAAGAACAATCCATTTTCGACGGCACGCAACATTACACAATATTTATATGGAAATATACATCTTCTCTTCACAGCTTCGAAGCTGAAGCTTGCGCTCTGGTTGATAACAGTTAGTCACAGCTTACGACTCTTCTTCCTCACGAAACATGGTAGATGTTACCCCTTTGATATACAAATATATCCGGTACAGATTTTGTTTGTTGATTTCTCCGGTTTTGACGTATTCGTGATAACCGTCCCAAAACGGCAATTCATTTTCCCAATTGAGCCCGTCGTATTCGTGAGAGATGACACTAAGCCTAATCTGGACCGCGCCTGGGGCTCGGCTGCAGATCCCTTGGCATGAGGCGGCGGCTTATGCCTCCCGCAGGATTCATACCTTGACCCGTCCCGAATAGCATCTAGTTTGATCAATCATATTATTCTGATGCCTTAGCAGTGGAGCTCGTGCCAACACTTGATTCCTGAAAATGCCAAGGTCTAGAAGCCGTACAACTGTCCTATCAGCTTTCACTAATAACAAAACAAAATCATGACCGCCTGAATCCTCCGCAGGCTTGCATGTTCCCACGGGACGTTATTTAGGCAGCAGACACGTACAATTTTAGACATGCAAGCATGGAGGAATGTAACTCTACCATCATAGTGCTGGCAACCACTTAGGACGCTGCAGCATTGCCCTGGGCGAGTGATTACATCACAGCAAGTTCTTGGCCATCAGGCGTCCCAGGTCACAGTCCACGGGTCCAGCGGGTTTTGGTTTGCGGAGCATTCCAAAGCTGCAAGTGTAGCCAATCATAGTAAACTCGATGCATCACATACATCGCGACGGCCAACGGTGCCACCACCGTGCTCGTATACATTCAGTCAAAGACGGCTAGCGACTTGCCTATTCAGGGCTGTCATCGTGCCCTCAACCAGATCGAATCAATTTGAAACCTGCTCCATCTACAACGGCATGACTGGCCTACAACTGCTGCTCCACAATTTTATAAATAACATTAGCGTCACTCCCTGGAGGTGACGATGGCAAGTGATATTCCAGCATTTGTAATTTATATCGCTCAGCTGCAGATCTAAATTCAGATATAAATTCCAGCAAGTCCCCGGTTTTTGACTCCTCCAGAATCATACCAACTCAGCTTTGCTATTCCTACCAACATTCACCATCATGAAGACAACCACTCTACTATGCCTGGCCGCGGCCCTTACCCAGACCTATGCATTCCCACAACAAGGAGCACCACACCCACTTCCCTGGTCCCCTCCAGGCCCTAACGATGGTAGGCCATCCTACACTCCACTCTCTATACCCAAGTCTAACAGAGAAATAACCAGTCCGCGCCCCCTGCCCAATGCTCAACACCCTCGCCAACCATGGCTATCTCCCCCACAACGGCAAGGACATCACCGAGCGACACACTATCAACGCCCTCTACAACGCTCTAGGAATCGAAGAAGAACTCGCCATATACCTCCACCAAGAAGCAGTGACCACCAACCCCGCCCCCAACGCAACCACATTCTCTCTGAACGACTTAAGTCGCCATGATATTCTCGAGCATGATGCCAGCTTGAGGTATGTCCCCCAAGCCTCCTACTCCACCCCTCATGCATCTAACTATCCATAATAGCCGCCAAGACGCTTACTTCGGCGATAACCACGACTTCAACCAAACCATCTTCGACGAGACCCGCTCATACTGGACTTCTCCCATCATCGACGTGAAGCAGGCTGCTGTGTCGCGCCAAGCGCGTGTTAACACCTCCATGGCTACGAATCCGAATTATACGATGTCGGAGCTGGGCGACTCGTTTAGTTACGGGGAGACGGCGGCGTATATTATTGTGCTGGGGGATAAGGAGAAGGGGTTGGTGAATCGGTCCAGGGTGGAGTATCTTTTTGGTGAGTTTGAGTCCTTTTGGGTGTGATGGTGCTGGGTGGTGTGCTGACTGATGGACTGTAGAGAATGAGCGTCTTCCGCTGGATCTGGGATGGAGTCGTGCAAAGGAAAATATCACGTTTGATGATTTGAGCACCATGTTGCAGAGAATTATTAATGCGACGGGTGGTGAGAGTGAGTTTGATAGGGAGTTGGCGAAGAGGGGTGGCGTGCATGTTGGGAGTTGGAGGGGGTAGATGTACATCATTCTCGTAAGGTTGGATGATGGATACTAGCTGATTCCGGTGTGAATACGAAGAGGTGGACATGTACTAGTGGACTTCAGGGCAACTATTGCACTGCCACGATTGGTTTATATATACTACGAAGAGGCTTGAATATCTTCAGTCATACCATCTTGGCATATGCCATCATCCTTGAAGTATCCTCCATGAAAGTCGAGTTTGTATGTTATTTTCAGTCCTCTCAGTGTGTTAGTTGCCAAATGGGCAGTGCACAACAACGTTCTCCACTATTGCTAGCAGCGTATGATTTCACACTTCCCGTTGAAACCAGATATTCTCCCCCAGAGTAGACTCCAAATCCAACCCCAAGCTCGTCACTATCCCCTCCGAATCGACGTAGAATTCAGCCTTGAAATACTCTGGTCCCACAGCCTCAGCATCGGGGTTATAACACTTGACGACGAAGAACTCCCCACTGACATGTTCAAACCGCAGACAGCCAAACATCACCCGGTCCCTCAAATCAACAACCAACTTGCCGCTCTCCTCACACACCCTCAACTCCCCATATCCCGGGTGCGCATATTTCCCTGTATACGATCCCAGCGACAACGCAAGTGGTAACCTCGTTTTGAGGTCTGGATATAAACGTGCCACCACACTCTCGACACTCTCGTCGTACATCCGCTCCATCTCCTTCAGTTTCGCACCTAGCTTCCTCACATGGGTCTCTCTGTCCGCTCCGCCCTTCCCCAGCAGCTGATCGATGAGATACAGATACAATTCCAGCTCCGCAATCCTCGCGTTCTGAGTATTCCCCATCATCACGAAAGCAAAGCTCCTTGCAGGCAAAAATCCAACCATGATTCCAAATCCATTCCAGCTTCCCGTATGCCAGTATAGCTGTTCTCCATGGTAATAGTCGATGAACCACCCCATGGTATAGAGGTGGTAAGCCCCCGGTGGAGCGAGCATATTCTTCCAATCTGAATCGGCGATAACTGCTCTAGGTATACGAAGTGCAGTGTGCCCCTCTTTTGAGATAGGCGGTGTCTGGTACAGCATAGCGCGCAGCCACTTCGCGTAATCCATCACGCTAGAAACCATCGATCCAGTTCCGGTGATTGGAGCATAGTTGATATATGGCTCTTCGTGATAGGTGTGTGTGTCCGGGTTCCAGGTGTAGCCCTTGACTAGTCTCCTCGACAAAGTGGGGGACTTCTGCACTTCGGCGGTGGAGAAATATGTGTCTTTCATGTCGAGTGGGTCCCAAATTCGCCTTTTGAGTGTCGTTCCGAGACCTTCGCCGTTTATGCGTTCCAACAAATATGTGGCAGCCATGAACATATGGTTGCAATAGTTGAATGTTGTTCGTGGTGGGAAGGCGAGTGGCAGCCATCGAAGTCTGCGGACTTCGGTGCGCAAAGTCTCGTTCGGATAAGCCAGGGTCACAGAATAGAAGTGGCCTGGGAGCCCGCTGCGATGGGATAAGATGTCTTCAATCGTAGTGTTGGCTGTGGCTGAAGGAGTAGAGAGAACAAAGTCATCACGGATGATGGAGGAGACAGGCGTGAACCAGGAGATTGGATGAGGAGTGGACTGGCTATCGTCGATCGCCATGGACATTGCAGCGGCGGTGAAGGCTTTGGTAGTGCTGCAGGTTGTGAAGAGGGAGGTGGTGGTCATAGGTGTGGAGGGAAAGGAAGCATAACCGTAGGCCTGGAATGATTGTTAATGTGGTCCTAAGGTCAATGGCAATCTTGGGCGGCGGAGGTACCTTTGCGTAGGTGCTGGAACCGTGCACGATCGAAATACTCAGGCCTGGGATGTGCCATTCTTCACGCAATTTCTCGACCAGAGCGTCAAACTCCGGAGTGAGCGGATTTATTTCCTGGCGGAATACCATTGCGTTTGATTTGATCTGGAACTGGGTGGACGTCAATGAGAAATGGAAAGTGAAAAGATGTGAGATGGAAGAAGATGCGGAGAGGGAGTCGTCAAGTTGCACCGGGGTCCGTGGGTAGCCCGACGTAGCTGCCTGGCACTAAGTAACCTCCGCAGATAAGCCCCGAACGGCCGCAGGAAGCCAATAGTCTGCATCAATACTTGCTTTTGCGGCAGCCTGCATAAGAGCCTCTTTGATTGGGTCCGTCGGTTGTTATCCCAGCGAGATCATTATTCCTTAATACTATGTACCGAACACAGGAAAGTGATGGTTATTATCAGCAGATTATGGCAGATATTCCATAAAGACTGTTTTGCTCGGGTACTAACTTCAAAAGCATCTTTCAGTATGAGACCAAGTATAAGAATGTTGAGACGTCTATCAAGCATTGTTACGTTATGGATTATAGACATGCACTAGATGCTCTAACTGTATCAAAATGACCACTCATCGAGCAAAGCCTTCATGCAGGCAGCCCCTGTCGCTGCAGCGTACGGTTGCCATATTTTATTCTTATGGCTATCAGCATAGTCACAAACGCCCTTCACCACTAGACAAGGCAGACTATCCCAGACCCCTGCACCCTCCATTTCAAACGCTATCACACTATCCCGCATTGCGATGAGGTCTCTGTCTAGCCCAGACTTCATGACGGTATCCCCAGATGCAATGAGACCCAAGTGAACTGCCGGAGTGGGGATATGCCCCTGTGTGAGTACAGCCTGGAGCCGCTTCCGTTTTACAAGGTTCTCTCTGCGGCATCCCAATTCATGACACGATAGATCAAACACTTCGTCGCAGACCCTATCGCTGGTTGAGTCTGCGCAACTGCTGCAAGTGGTGCTGCCGTGATGTTTATGCTGATAGCTTGACTCGTAGAGTTCATCTTGCTCCACGCCTGGATATCGAGCAGTGTCATGGCCAAGCATCTGGCTTATAGCTCCCATATATGTCTTAATCTTGTTTGACATCCGCTGTTGTGCCATAGTCGTCTTTACCTTCGAAAGAAAACCACGTATAGCGGTATTGGGCCGTCCAAGCCCATCGGTAACTGATGTTTTCGGCAGGAATGCCCCAGGAATCCTTCGCCCAAAATCATGCTGGATAATTCCATCACTGACTACTATATCTCCGAGGAGGATCTCCTTGTTCCCCTTTTTGTACGGAACACCGCCACAGATTCCGACCACTAGAGCGAGCTTAATGTTCGGATAGGTTGACCGTATAGTAGAGGAGGCCTGAGACGCAACGCTTTTTCCCATTCCCGGGAGATGTACCAGAGCAGCGTGATGGCGACCCACTCGACCAAGAGTGTACGTGTTCGAGTCTCCCAGCGCGTTCTGATACAGCCTTAAGTCTTCATACCGTTCATCAAACACAGCGCTAACCGCATCAACCTCTAGCGGCAAGGCACAAAATATTGCGATCGTGAAATCTTCCTGGACGGGGAAATGTGAGGTAATGACCGTCTGCTCTGAAAAGGCATGGTGGGAGGATGTCCCAATCGTCTCCGTGGTAGGAGGACTCTGGATATCCCAGTCATCTTGATAGGCCTCGGACAATCTTTTCAATGGGGAAACAATCTTCTCGTAAAGAACCCTCTGTCGGGCCTTGATCTGCTCTGCCTCTGCATACTGTTGTATTGAGTAGCCTCCAAATAGCTCAGGGTTGAGGCAGTTATTAACAGCCTCTTCATATGTAGAATGCACCATGTCCTTTAAGTTGCTTCTGTTTGCCGTTGTCCATGCCCACGTATAGTAGTCATTCATCGCAGTTTCGCTCAAGGGGAGAGGGAATTCTTCACTTGTTAAGGGCTGCTTGATGGCAATTTCGATAAGAAGAATTCCCAATGCCAGAATGTTTGGATATTGGTGCATGAGATCATCAGCATAGTAGCAGTCTGTAGGCTTAACTATCGCTCGAACCATGTTCGTTGTCAGATAAGGATGTGGTCTTTCCTGACCTGCCAGGCCAGTCTCTTCGATTAACAGTTCAATGCTGTCGTGGGTCCAGGGCGCCATCATCCACGGTGAACTGTAATACTGCCAGACGGACTTGGCAATGGTATAGGCTAGATGAGACTTTCCCTTATTGGAGAGATGGGGTATTTGTCTGAGCCAGTGCCCTAGAGAATGGCCTTCAGTAGGGCGAATGCCACGGGAGGGCTTAGAATCAGGTGGTTCGATCACCTTCAGGACGTTTGATTGGATATAAAATTGTACAGGGCTCCCAAACCGACTCCCGATCACTTTGCAGAATTCCCCCACCTCAATCCGTCTTAAGCGTTGTGATAAGTGCGGGCTGTGGCGTTTCGGTGAGGATAGATGACGATTTGGGGATGCGAACCCAACCTTTTTCTTGCTCTTCTGGACATCAGTTTGTCTGCGGAATCACGTCTCGGCCGTTAGTTGTGGTTGCTGCCAGCCGTGCCTTCTGTCTTACCTTGTGACTCTCACGTTCGACTCCTTCCACTGCACGAATGAGGGGGAACGCGTAGGTGGGAAGGTGTTGGCCTTAAAGACGAACTCAAAGGAAACATCATCATCTACGATTTGGCTCTCAATACTCAGTCGCAGTCGAGTCGATTTTAAGTGTCCGGTGCGGCAGCCACATGTAGCGTAGGTCTGTAGCTGATTGTAGAGGATTTCGTTCAAGTACCCTGGGTATCCGACATTGCAATCGTCCTGATGTTCCTCGGTATAGAGTGGCTCTGTTTCGTCCACCGTCAAGCAATCAGAAATCAGTCGCAAGAGAGCATGGTATTCTGGGCTATGTAGGGCAAAATGCTTCAAGCTTTCCTGTGTCTCTCTAATGACAGTCTGTCTAATTCTGCTCGTGGAATCCTTGTAACTACGGATTCTGTTCAGAGCCCGAAATCGATCTGCCTCGTTCCGCGACGTCTGAGTAGTGAGTTAGTGCACAACGTATGGGGTCGCTCGTCTGGGGAGACCCACTGAGCACGCTTTATCGATAATCTCGAATATCTTCAGCAATCTCTCTCGCGCAAGGGCTGTCTCGCTGATAGTTGGGATGTGCTGGGATAGAACGAACAGCTCGCAGCCCAGCGTACCGTAAACCTTATTACGCGTCTGTTGCCCTATCAGGATGGCTTGGTTACTGATCCACGGTAGTACTTGACCGCCCACATCCAGGACATCTTCCTCGTCCATGAGGCATGATAAGGCTGGATAACTGCAGCATGAGAACGGAGATGTTTGTTGAAACAGTCAGCGGGGGCGGGGTAACCTGGCAAGGTGCAGCACGTGTTGAGCTAAGCCCAAATGGACCAGACACTCCAACTGGGGCTGATCGAGATTGCCAAACTCATACTAGTACTCAAGTTATGGCAGACCAGGTTACCATCTATGAGGCCACACTGGCCTGTCACCGGGTCTTTCGAGACTCGGCTGCTGTGCCTACTCTTCAAGAATGGGCAGAGAACCGTCTAGCCGATCTGAACCTGTGGGCTAGTGGAGCCGGGGCCTTGAAGGTCGGAAAGGCATCCCTCGATGCTAGACTGTCCTCAAACCCGGACGCAAAAATATTTGTGGTGAATCTTCTGGGAATGCTGCAGGCCTTTGTGGAACGGTGCGTTGAGACAGGTACTGTCGAGTCATCACATTTAGCAGAAAGGACGAGGAATGACTTCTTCCTAGGAACCGACGGACACACTGATACGTTAGATCAGGCTATGCAGGATGTGAAATCCATTATTGGCCAACTCAGTCGGATCACAACTTCCATTCGCAAGGCTGGCACTAATGCTCGGATTCAGAAAGCTGATGCTTCTTACGACCCTGATCATCCGCAGGTCAAAGCTTTGAGAATTCATCTACAGCTGCTGTTACTATCAAGACCTACTAATAATGGCACTCTGCGGGTACTGATTTCTTCGCATGGCGTGGTATTGACTTCGCCCGTAGACGAGACCATTGTGACCGATTCGCGTTCATTGACTGTTATTCAGCAACGACTCATCGAAGCGAATCTTAAACGGAGAAATCGATTTTTGTATGCTCAGCGTCATGCAATCAAGCTATCCGATGAGGATCCTACGGTATCGACATCGATACAAACCCCTCAAAAAGCACCCCTGCCACCGGGTGCCAACCCCTTCGCAAGGTCGACGGAAGAGCCTGAACTACCAAAAGTGTATAGCACAACAACTGCAACGGATGTACAAGATCCAATTCAGTTACCAACGCGATCCAGTGCCCAGCCAACGACCACAGTCATATCTGAAATAAGTTCTCGTGTGACTTATCCCAAACCTCCACCACTTAGGAGTGCTCAAAATATTTTCCAGTGTCTGTGCTGTTGCCAGACATTGCCAGCTTCCGTGGGCAGAGGAAGTCAGTGGAAGTACGTATTGATTCTCTCGGCATCGGACTTACAACTGATCAAAAGCAATTTAGAAAACATCTCTCTAGAGATATTCTTCCCTACACATGTATTCTAGAAGATTGCCCTCGTCCCGAAAGGCTTTATCATACAAAGGATCTCTGGCTGTCGCACATGCTCACAGATCATGGCGGCACTTCCCACTGGGTTTGCCTCGCATGCAATGGCTCGAGCGAACGACGGGTGTTTTTTGAAGACTCGGCATTGACTGAACATTTAGAGCAAAAGCATTCAAGGGGTATCAAACCCCAGCAAATCCCCATGTTGGCCTCTGCCTGGCGCCGAAAACAGCCTCCCTCTATCGAATCATGTCCACTCTGTGGGTTGACAGACCCGGATTTTAATGTCATTTTGAACCATGTTGCCGAGCATCTGCATGCATTCTCGCTTAGGGCCTTGCCATGGGCACAGGGAGACTTTGAATGTAATGGTAGCTCATACGGTGACTATTACGAAGATCATCCTTATTTTGACACAGGACGATCGGACGATACACGAAGATTGGGATCCGGGTCTACTGAATTATCTGAGCAGATGAGTCTGGAAGACCTGCCTGTCATGGAATCTCGCAAGATGCCAACTAAAAACAACCACTTGACAGAAGACAAGATACGCTGCATTTCAGAAGACCCGAATGGTAACGAAGATATGATGGCTGCGTTCTTAGCTGGCATCGAGAACCAAGATCCTGTAACGGCACCCTTTCAAACCCCACCATCGCCAGCCCGCTCTGATAGTGGGCCACCCCTCACCGAAGAAAAAAGCATCCGGCTCCTCGACATGCATTCCGTTCCATCATTAAGTGTTATAGACCCTAGATATTTGGATCGTGACCACTCCTCGACCATTCGAGCGCCACTGCCAGCCCCATCTGACAGCGAATCCTCCACAGACGAAGAGGATGAACACTAAGCAACTCTATCCCATCAGCCTGCATCTTCATCTCCATCCAGACCACGCTCGGATTCTAATGAAGAGCCTGCATCGCCGGGTTTCCTATCACCATCTGTGGCCCAGGAAGAGTTCTTGTCGCCCGCCCTATCACGTCATGCTGATCTCGATGGAACTTCTATAACCAGAGTTATGAAGGCTGAAGGCGCTATAAAAGGTGGGGCAGAAGCTGCTGGGTTTCTTTCGGGATCTGGAATGCTTTCTCGTCATATCACGCTACCGCAAGGTAATGCTCGGCCTGGCGAGTTGTCGAATTTTTCTCTAGTCATTTATGATGAGGATGATTTTCAGCATTCGTTAGCAACACTCTTTGGCAAATGTTCTCGATGAGTTTCAATGCTTTTGGAACACTCCAATCATGCGCCCTGTCTCTCGCTTGGTGAACTGAACGAGCATATTGCTGATCGATTCCGCAATGCCATACTGGATGGGTCCGACGTCGATGGACTCCTTGCCAACCCCTTGTATCGGAAAAATACCTTTATTTCCGTTACGATGACCATGATGTGGGAATTTATTTTTACACGTTATCTCTTTGGCTTGGACAGACCGATATGCTCAGCAATCAAGCGGCTAGAGAAGGAATTGGCTCAGACTTTACCACGAGAAGCAGTTCATCGCTGGCGAGCCACAACGTTGTACTTACTGGCACAGGATATGGAGTTGAAAAGCCAGAAAGGACATGATATTCTAGTGATTTCGATTGAAATTATCGATGCACTGATGTCTATGCTACCGGAAGGGAGACCACATGATTTTCGCCTGGGCGAGCAGCTCTGCAAGCTAGTGCACAGCGCTGTGGACATCTCTGTTAAAATGCGTACGCAGCCGGCAGACTACATCATGTTACCTCCTCTTCAGCCTGAGTATGACAGTCAAGGAGATTTGACAAGCCAGATTTTCTTCAACGCCTCCTTGATGCATGATCAAAGAGGCGTGTATGCATCAGATGAAGAAGCAGAAACCGAACACGCGGTGGTTCGTTTAGTCCTTTTTCCATTAGTAGTAAAGAAGGGCGACGACAAGGGCAAAGGAGACGAAGAAGTGGTTGTTTATCGAGCTCAGGTCGTCGTGGCAGAAGAGCAGAGCGAACGGTCGGCTCCTGAATCAGAGATCAAAGCTCAAGCCCCTGGCTCCTGAGGGCACATACTACTTTGCTGAATTCTACCCCCAGTCTTCCTGCGATAGGGCTATGGTTTATGGCTTGGAGGATGAAGACGGTGCCGGCAGAAGACGCCGTGCGAGACAGCAAGAAAAAAAAGGCTACAGCAGTCCCAAATTCAATAACGCGCCTAATATGTCCCTGGTGACAACCTCTTTAGAGAATATGAGAGCATCGAGCCTCCTGCGAAGACAGCAGAGGAGACTCTGCAACCTAGCTCGGGTGCTGCCACCTCCTTCCCTGGTCAAGATAACGCTGCAGTGGAGAATGTTTTTGGGGAGGTAGGAGATACTGATATCTTCTTTTGAGCTCGTCTTTTTTATTTTATATTATTTTCTGTGCCATCCATATTTTGGTGGCCTGCTGAAGGGTTTGATTAGTATTTGCGTGATACGGTAGTTGTCTCAATAAAGCTTCATACGGAAGTCCCCAGAGCAATTATAAATCTGCGAATTAAATGTTAGAGTACAAGCCCTGTGAAACTAACACATCGGTATAATCGTGTTCTCCAATGGTAATTTAATAATCATACAATCCTAGTACCCGAATACGATTGGGGAGAGCGAATATTAATTCTGGATAGAATAGCCTACTCATCATTGCTCACGCGCTCATGCGCTCATGATGTAATAATATAGCTTTAGGCTCTGAGAGTTATACAATTGATACAATAAGAACAGGAAACTCGTGTAGACAGAGATGTGTAGACAGATAAGAATCGTAGAAGCCAAAAATCAGAAAGGCCGTGGCATAGCATGCCATGATACGAGGAAGGTCCTTTCCCAACACAACTCAAGGGGTGCTAGCCCACTGCCACCCATTTGTCTTGATATAGTCCAGCATATTCTCGACTTGGATGAGCTGGCTCGGGATTTTTAGATCCAAGGTATCGCGGTGAAGCGGAGTAAGCATTCGGTTGACTGGCGCTTTTCCGTCAAACCGAAAAAACTTCACTTTCGTACCAATAGCCACTGCTCCGAATAATTTTTTGGAATGATTGAGAGTTTGTTGAAGGTCGTCAAGAAATTGGCCCTCGATGGTATCATTCCAGCCGTTGGGAGTGTCGTAGGATGGGCGCTTGCATTCAATCATCATGATCTGGCGTTCCGCCCAATCAGGGGAGCTTCGTGGGTTCGGTTGCAGTGCCATTACCTTGATGACAGTAACATCGGGCATATTCCGACTGGCAAGCGTGGCACCTTTAAAGCCAAATTTGTAGTGTTGTTCATAGGGAAACCACGCGTGTACTATCCCCTGCCATAAGGTCTGAACGGTTTCCTCTAGACTGTGTGGCTTGATCAACTGTATTGTGTTGAGGAACATCATCTGGTTTTGAAAGTATGAGACACGGCCAGCCATGGTTGCGACAGTCAAGGTTTTGAGCTTCGAATTGGAGGAATGAAGGCTTAGACAATTGAAAGAAGACCTGAAAGATTGTTGACAGCAGGAGAGTTGTTGTGACAGTATGATTGTGGGAGTTGATGGACGATACTGAAGGCAGGAACTACCTCGCCTTTATAATGGAGAATTCGATCATGGCGAGAATTGCTTTGGCGTCAATACCCAGGCACAATCCTCCAGCTCAGGCTCTCGTATAGCCGCCGAGTCGGACAGGCCGCCAACCACCTCCAGTCAACAACATACAAAGGAGCATCTGCTGAGACAGGATAGAACTTATGATACACACGTTACTGCAGGGTTGCGGCACACAAAACAACAGTCCATCAGATATGATGACCTAAGAGCCAATTCATTGTCCGGCAGCCTGATGTTCGCACTTTGTGGTGGCTGGCTGTGCTTCATGATTGCTCGCCGTCTAAGCGCCCGCTGCCAACCATTTACGCTTCGATCTGGCCAGGACACTATATTTAAGAACATGGCGCAATTGCCTGCAGGTATCTTTAGTATGTATGCCCTGGATGACCATGTGATGGCCTCATTAAGCGCCGACCTTGGCCAAGCCGCAGGTTGAAACCTGACACGTTCTTATACGTGTGACTAACAATGCCATCGGAGCCACTACATCCTATTGTCATACCAGGGCTAAGCGCTTGCCGCTTAGAAATAGGTAGTGATCGAGTCACTAAATTTGGGTTTCTGGTACTTCATATGGAGGGATGACATTAGGCCTTCCCAGCTAGTCTTCCATATCCAGCAAGCACTTACTAGGCAAGCGGTCTGTAGCGCCCGACTCTAGAGCTCCTGGCCAATAACTAGCCCATAACTTCCCCGCGGCCACACGCAACCTCACTAGTCCACCAACATGCTCCCGACTAGGAGACATATCTATTGACCCTCTCCTGGGACATCCCTCTAATATCCAGCCCCCCTTTCTCCAATCATTCTCATCCAAAGGGCACAAGTGTGCCATCTCACAGGATGGTGTCCAATGTCTACTGTCCGTTTTGTGGGGTGATCCTGCTGCCCGATCCGGATTGGGATGGTCCAGACTCCCCACAGTCCGGCGCCCGCCCTTGGTACGCGCAGGTTCGGGGTATCTACTCGACCAATCCTGCCGTCGATCACATCAAAACTACTGGGGTAGGAATAGTACGCGGTCGGAAAACCCTCCATGCACCACTGGACAGCAATCAAGTCTACGGCGATGTAGAACCTGATGACCTGGATGAATGGAGGCTTTGCGAACGATCGGATAGCCAATGGTGCTTTGGATTTCATGAGTCCTGTTGGAAACTGCTCATCCTTAGGCTCCAGCATGGGCGAGTCGAATCGCCATCACTAACAGACGTGGCAATTGCCGAAATGGTCTTCTACCAACTCTACTGCACTCCGTGCCTCGAAGGCTCCATCTTCCACTTCGGCCATGACTATGCGGGCGCTGCGCAAACACATAGAATTCGCGGGCGGATACAGCCGGTGGATTTGGACTCCCATCTTTATGCCGACCCCTGTGCGATCGCTGTTCTGGCTAATCCGACTGATTCCATTCCTGCTTCTGAGAATTCGATGAGCAGGTCAGGGAGATACTTGTCGCACCATAACTCAAGAGTAGGAAGCCTTACAGAGGTGGGGCAAAGGAGGTATCATGCCTTTAGCAGCCTCTCAAATGAGCTGCTGCTTGAGATCTTTTCATATGTACCCTTTGAACAGCTTCTCACTCTGAGACTCGTATGCCGCGACCTAGCGGTACTCGCAGATATATCTATGCTCCCCCAGTCGTATTGGCGGAGTAGGTTCCTTCTGGGCCAGGAGGCTGACTTTGTCTTCCCCTGTCTTTCAGAAACACAAGATTGGTTCAAACTTTTCTTCGCTACGAGGGCATCTTTGAAAGCTGCCACGCCACCACTAGTCAATCGAAAGAGAATCCGGGACCTACTGGAGCCCATGGCGTCCCTTGCGGACCTAGACTCCATTTTTCGACGCGGTCCCGGCGGACTGGACTATTTTCCGGCGCCAATGCGAGGGAACGACTTCACTCTGGTTGATATTGAAGCGGGCCCACAGCTAGCGAAGGCTGTGGGCTACTTTTCAGGTCAGCTGGCATATAATGATGAGGATTGCCCCCTACAAGAGGGATGTCGTGTGCTCTATCGAAAGGCACAGCCCTTCATGTTCCCGCAGGAAAAGCACAGAAGACGAATTGGTATATCAACTGTCAAGATCGGCGCACGGCGGTTTATTTCTGGTATCAATCTATTCCCGTCGGACGAAGGCAACTGTGTTGGTCGATTGATTGGTTACCGCGATCCAGGTACTGAAACCTGTATAGACGTGCCGAAGAACCTCTTCATCAAGGCGTTTCGCGTGGCATTTTGCTCGGAAGGCTTGATGGGGATCCAGTTACAATACGGTAACTCAGCTTCATCATGCTGGCTTGGTGATAGCAACGGCCCAGGGATGGCTCAGGGAACACTGCAGATTCCGAAAAGACCAAACCAGTACCACTTGCTGGCCGACGTAGACCGGTTTAAGATTGTTTCACTTGGTCTTACTGAATCGACTGATGCCCATCAGGGGTCTTTGCATCGTTCTCCTTCGGACGTGAAGGACTCGCTTCGCACGCATTCCCAGTTGTGGGCTCCTCATGCACCCATGTATGAGGGTTTGTCTCTCAGCCTTCTCTTACCGCCTGAGCCACCCCGTGCCTTTGAACCGTTGTCGAATATGGACTTCGGTGGCCCAGGAGGTAGATATCTGATGTCCTTGACCAGACTGGACTTTCACATGACATCTTACCCCCACCCTCTTATAGGCATGGGCTATCACTACGCCGACGGAAAGTCGGTTTTCTTTGGTTCTACTGGTGGTTGTGCCATTTCGATTCCCATCAATGGCCCAGATGGCGAACGTATCAGCGGGGTAAGCATTGTGGAAGACAATCGTGACTTCGTTCAATCTGAAGGGCTTGGTGGGCTACAGGTCTGTGCTTCTCTGTTCCCAAGCATCCATGCACCACGCTAATCTTGTGAAGGTGTCAACAAACTATGGGCGATCTGTTATACTGGCTCCCCTTTGCTATCGGCTCAAAGCATCCATTACACCGATACCAAGCTTGCCGCTCGGTCATCACATCACAGGATTTGTCGCCCACCAGAAGGTAGGTAGAGCTTCGTGACCTAGTTCGAACAATAGCTGAGTAGGTGACAGACATACGGAACCCAATTTATCCAACTCGGTATCCAATCACAATTCTGTGACGGACCACCCACGATCCCACACATCATAGACCGCGAGTGTCATCAGGTGCCGGATGATCAAATCCGATACGATGAGAAATTCTCTCATTTTATCAACAGCACCAATCCAGGTAACTATCAAACTTATGCATCACTAAAGGGAATCCGGAAAATTCAGGCATCCGCTGGCATCTCAGGTTGGTCACGCCCACCAACAGGCATCTCCGGCCTGAAGCTTGAGTATTACAACCATCCTAGTCCAGCCATTGTTGGACAGTGGATGAAGGAACTTAAAGATGGGTTTGATATATCACCAGACGAAGAAATCCAATCAGTCACCGTATGGATCACTCCTCTGGGCTTTTCTGCCGAGTCTCCGGGGTTGGAAGTGGGTCAAGTCGCAGCCATACGCTTTGAAACAACATGTGCGCGCAGTGTGACTTTCCGATCTCCGCACTCTCATTCCCTCCCCGCCACTGGAATGATACGAAATGAATACCAACGTTGCTTCGATGAGGATCTAACAGCTATGTCATGGATCTTCAATGAATCTTCGGACCGCGTCCGAGCAGTAAATTCTCCCTACAAAAACCAGAGACCTCAAATACTTGTCCCAGAAGTCTCTCCCCCTTTTGACCAGGTACGGAAGCTCTACTTCGAGACACGGAATGACAACACCACCCCCGAAAGGATAGTCACCGTCGAGGCCTACTTTCGAGGCCGCGCAATCATCGGACTGCTCTTCGTCTATACATCAGGCCTCATGGCAAGCACGGGTGATATAGACACCGACTCCCAAGCCGTTCATATTGCACGGGATGGTGATATTGTCGGTATGTCAGCTACAGTCGCAGGGTCCGAGCTGGTTGAGATTGACTTCGAGGTCGAATACAACAAATCGCCCACATGCCAGAGGCTTAGTCTCGCCTTCGAACCGCCCTACACCCTGGAAACAGCTGTGGACTATGGGTGGCGAGATGTATGGTGTAAGGATAGGGCAGCTGTGGATTGCACCACCCGGCAGCGCGGGAGCGACCAAGTATACGTGGCCCCGAGCAACTCAAGGCTTACTGGAATCTACGTTGGGTGCCAGAAGTTCAGCAACGTGGGGGCAATATACGAGCCAGTTATTTCCCAATAGGACTGTGTATATGAATAATCAGCGGAGTTGAAAGTATAGCTGGTGGCAATAGGTAACTGATGTATATGGCTTGAAAGGTGGACTACTAGCATCCCAAACTGCATCATCATTGTACTTTCAGGCGGGGTGGCCAATTTATCCTGAAATCCTGCAATCCATCAGAGAAATTTGGCATCACTCAAATGATAGAGCACAAGCTATGTGGTATTAACACATCGAGATAATCGTATTCTCTCCAATGGTAATATAACAATCATACAATCCTAGTACCCGAATACCCATTCATGCTCATATAAACATCGTGAAACATCAAACTCATCATGCAGATACAGCTCCCCATCCACCTCCACCAGCAGTGTTAATTACAATGCGATCATGCGTCTTCATAGACACCGTGTTCTTTCCTCCGATATTGACCACGCGCTCCACACCCGTATCCACGTCCTTCGTGACCCAAAGGTTCATTCCGGGCTGCGCATCCTCGCCACCCTCGAGTCCGTACGGGCGGTATACACGACGCTCAGAGAGAATGGAGACTTCCATCGGCGAGAGGAACTCGATATCTCTAACAACACCGTCGCCACCAGGGTTCTTTCCCTTTCCACCGGATCCCTCCCGAAGGGTGAACTGTCGAAGAAGTGTCGGGTAGCGCTTCTCCAGAATCTCCGGGTCGGTGATACGCGTGTTGGTCATGTGCACGTGGATACCGGACTCGCCGCTCCAAGTGGGACCGGCACCGCTGCCTCCGGCGATGGTCTCGTAGTAGCCGAAACCAGGGATAGTCTCGCCGGTTTCAGGGTCACGCTTGGAGTTGGTGCCAAAGGTCAGGTTGTTACAGCATCCTTGGGAGGCGGCACAGGCGCGGAAGGCTTTGAGCACAACGTCGGTGATACGCTGAGAGGTTACCACGTTTCCACCGACCACAGCGGCAGACTTGGTAGGGGACAGGATGCTAGGAGAGGGGACTTGGATGTCGATAGGTGCCAGGCAGCCCTGGTTCAGGGGCATGTCTGCGTTGATCATGCAGCGCAGGCAGTAGATGATGGCCGAGTGGGTGATGGCGATGGGTGCGTTCCATCCGCCGTATACCTCAGGACCGGTACCGTCAAAGTCGAACACAGCGGAACCATCCGAGCCGTTGATAGTGACCTTCAGCTTGATCGGAGTACCGTCGTCCATGTAGTCGACTGCCTCCAATGGTTGACCGCCGAACTTCTTGTGGAGGTCCTTGAGAAGGTTGCGCACTGCTGTCTCAGCGGTGGCTTGAATAGCATACATGTACTTCTGCACTGTCTCGACTCCGTATTCCGCAAACAAGGCTTGGATCAGCGAGATACCGCGGGTGTTGGCTGCAATTTGTGCTTTCAAGTCAGACAGGTTATCGCTGACGCATCTGGCTCCTGAGCAGCCTTCGTACTGGGCCGGCTTGTGAACCAACAGCTCCATCATGCGCTCCTCATCAAAGACACCGTTGCTGACGATTTTGTCGCCTTCAATTGCAGCACCCTCCTGCCAGAGCTCGGTGGACTTTGGTGGCATTGAGCCTGGAAGGATGCCGCCAATATCTGCGTGGTGGCCACGGGAAGCCACATAGAACATGATCTCGGTGCCACCCGGTCGGTCGAAGACGGGTGTAATGACCTATTGCTGTTAGCTGGTTCAAGCTGATTGGTGAGCGCGCAATTAACTTACAGTGATATCAGGCAAGTGTGTGCCACCGCTGCTAGGATGGTTTGCTACTAGTACATCACCGTCATGCAAATTACCGAGCCACTTCTGGTGCTGGTAGCGGACCGCAAATTGCATGGAGCCAAGATGCACCGGAACGTGCGGTGCGTTGGCTACAAGACCTCCATCGGGAGAGAAAAGGGCGCAAGAGAAGTCGAGACGCTCCTTGATGTTTGTAGATACGGAGGTCTTCTGGAGCGTGCGACCCATCTGTTCGGCAATAGACATGAAACGATGGCCGAAGATACTGAGCCGGATGGGGTCAATACCTGAGGACCCACCCTCAATGCCATTGACATTAGGGAGTTCCTCGAGGTCGATGACTATGCAGGTCTCTAGAATACTAGCGACGGCATTCGGGGCCACCACGACGGTTTGTGTCTCGTCAATGATAACTGCAGGGCCATGCACACGGCTATTCTTCTCGAGCTTGTCCAAGAGATAGACAGGAGTATCGATCCGCTCGGATTGACCGTCAAAGTACGCCTTGGAGATGTTGTCCGGACCTCTGCTGACATCCTTCAGGGTAGCTTCCCTCAGTTGCACAAGGGGGCTCTTTTCCGTCCGGACCTTTGAGCAGGCAATCGTGCGGACACGAATATCATCCACCAGAACTGCTCTGTCAGAGTTGAACCCGAATTCTCTGCGGTGTCTGGCACGGAATTGCTCGAGGAAATCGGAGTCATCCTCAGGCTTCAAGATCATCAAACTGGTATCTGAACCCTCATAGCGCAAGTTAAGATACAGGTCGTGGCGAACTTGGTCAGCCGAAAAGCCTTGCTCCTGCATGTCTTCAGTAGACGCCTTGATCATAGCTTCGAAGCGCTTGTCAAGTGTCGACTGGGAGGTCGAGTACTCAGTGGAGACCGGCTCTTGCGATTCCTTGACCACCTCAGCCAGCGCCAAGCCGTACGCCGAAAGGACAGAGGAGAACTTGTGGATGATAACGCGGGAGATTCCCAAGGATGCCGCAACGGTACAAGCGTGTTGACCACCAGCACCGCCAAAGCATGCGAGGTGGTGGGACGCAGTTTCGAAACCGCGAGCTTCCGTCAGGTTGCGGATAGGACGAGCCATCGACTCATCCGCAACCTTCAGGAAACCTAGTGCCACCTCCTCCGCTGTGAACTCCGATTGGCCCTTCTCCTTTCTCTCGGTGTTTATCTTCTGCGTTAATTCGTTAAAGAGCTTGGTCGTAATCTCAATGTCAAGGGGCTGGTCTTCATTGGGTCCGAAGATGTGAGGGAAGTATTCTGGCAGCAGTCGGCCGAGGAACAGGTTGGCGTCGGTGACGGTCAGAGGACCGCCTTTGCGGTAGCAGGCAGGACCCGGATGGGCCGACGCCGACTCAGGACCGACGTAGAAGAGGCCGTTACGCCATGACAGGATGGAACCACCACCGGCAGCAACGGTATTGATGTCGAGCTGAGGAGACTGGATAAGGACACCGGCCACCTGGATCCGAAGACATGCTCGAGGTGACCGTCAAACCGTGACACGTCCGTCGACGTACCACCCATATCAAATCCGATGACAGGGGTCTTCTCCTCCGGATCCCAGCTCGTCGCAGCAAAGCCAACCACACCGGCAGCA